TAGGTCAGCCATGAGCCATCCAACCTCTGCTTAAAAACCTCCAAGGAAGGAGAGTTCACCTTGCAATGACACATATGATCTTTCCCTGAAATGCTTGCAAAGACCTGCATAACATGACATTGAACCCCATCCACTTTCTCTTATCTCTAAAGCAAGGGTTGCCAATGGGTGCCCTCCAGGTGTTGTGGACTACAACTTCAATCAGCCCCAGCCAGTTGATCTAAAGGTCAGGGATGATGGGAATTGTAGTCCATAACATAGTCCTGCTGTGGTGAACCTTTGGTGCTCCGGATATGGCTGAACTACAGTTCTCCCCATCCCTGGCCATTGCCCATGCTGGCTGATGGGAGCTGTAGTTCAGCAGCATCTGAGGGTCAAAGGTTCCCCACAGCTTAGCTACTTTATTAACTGCTCTGGGAATATAAATCTATGTTTATGATATGGGATATAAATGTTGAAAATACAAATAAATATATAAGTAATTTCGTTGTCCCTGAAGGGGGCAATGACAATAAAGATATTATTATTATTATTATTATTATTATTATTATTATTATTATTAAAGTAGCAAAGCTTCTATGACTTTGGATGTTAGCATTTCAATCAGTTCCTATTCAGCAGTTTTGCAGGTTTTCTACCTCTGTTTTCTCGATAAGCACCTTAAAAAAAAAAACCTTAAAGGAATATGAAAGTACAATAAATAAGTATGCCTATTTAATTAACTTATATAAATTACCATGAAATTTCTTTTAGTTTTATTTATAAACAGTTACCGGAACTGCTGAGGAATGGATTTTAATTTCTGTAGCTCAGCATGATATATCTGAAATACTCAGAGAACAGAATTCTTCCAAACACCATGCACCCTTCTGGAAAAAAAAATAGTATAAATCAGATCCATTGAGCAGGAAATTCTTAATTAACAACAAAACAACCACCACCAAAATGCACCCACCCACTTTGACCTGATATCCTAAAACTCTAAGGGTAGCATAGGAAATGTTGAGCATTTGGAAACTGGTCAGAATATATATTATTTTGCTTCCATTCCTCTATATGAAGGAAGCAGGTGAGTGGGTGGGTATAAAAGGACAATAATTTTAGTGAGTTTGCGGGCACTTTCAGATGGTCAGTATTTTCGGGTGGCAAATTCAGGTTGTGCAGTTATAGTTGATGCAATCAACCTGCTTCCGCCAGAAGAGTGGACCTTTTGCAATAAGGAAAGTGGGGGGGGGGATGCTCTGGAAAGTGTGGCACAACACTTCTGATGGTGCAGCCAGCCTGCAAACAAATAAGAATGATGGTCCATTAAAAAGCCAACATTGTGTTGTTGCAGAACTGTGCCACCGTGGCGCAAGAGGTCAACTGATATCAGCAGGTTTGGAAGTTGTTGTTGTTGAAAAAAGTTAAGGGAGAAGGGTGCCCCAGAATAATAGAATCATAGAATTGTATGCTTGTAATGGATCTCAAGGGTAACCTTGTCCAACTCCTTGCAATGCAGCAATCACAGCTAAATAATTTTGTTTGTTTGTTTGTTTGTTTGTTTGTTTGTTTGTTTGTTTGTTTGTTTTTCTCCTTCTTGGAGGCTAGGACCTGAACCAATGGCTTCAAGTTACAAGAAAGGAGATTCAAACTAAACATCTGGAAGAACTCTCTGATGGTAAGAGGTGTCTGACAGTGGAATAGACTTCAGTGGAAGGTGGTGGACTTCCTTGAAGGTTTTTAAGCAGAGGTTGGATGGTCATCTGTCATGGATGCTTTAGCTGAGATTCCTGCATTGCAGGGAGTTGGACTGGATGACCCCCGGGGTCTCTTCCAACTCTACAATTCTGTGATTCTATGAATCTCTGGCAGATGGCCATCCAACCTCTGTTTAACAACTTCCAAGGAAGCAGAGTCCACCACCTTCTGAGTTAATTCAGTAATCAGTCCAATGAAAACTGAACACTGGCCATGAAGTTCTGACAGACTGATGGGGATAAGGATGGAAAACTGGGTGAGGCAGGAGGGAATGGAATTGTGAAATCCTGAACAGGGATCACTCCACTCTGTAACATTTACTTGTGGCCTTAATGACAGAAGGGGTCTTAGCCAGTAAGTGAAATCTTGCCATAGCTCCGGAGTGACAATACAAATGGGCTTGGAAGGAGTGGCCAGACAGATTCATTTCACCAATGTCAGCCAACCCCCGGGCTTTCATTTATGCAGAGCCTTGGCTTTTAAGTGATCTGAAGGCTTGTCCCATTTAAAGAAAGAAAGAATGGAACACGCAATGACACAAGAGAGGCCTCCCTTTTGAGAACTTAATTCACATTTTGTGAACGTTCCAGCGGTGGTGATAAATAGTGTTGAGAATCGTGTGCTTACCTTTGTGTGCAGTTCCATACAGTGATCGATGTACTGTAGCCGGTTATCATTTTTCCTTCGCTTAATAGCCTGCAAAAACAAACACGCACGGAACATAAATCAACATGACTCATGATGTACTTGTTGAGCCACTTATTTCCTTGAATGGTTTTTCGGTGCCAAAAACCTTTTGATCTCCTTTGGCAGAGAAGTTTCCGCAACACAGCAGAGCTTGAGCAAGCCAAGTAGGGTAAGAGATAAACGGACTCCTCGCCTAATCTGGATGTCAGGTTTCCTTGCTTGCATTTTCAGTGGTCAGGCATGTTCTGCATTTTCCTCCAGTCCAAAACCTTATTCAGGCTACCAGCTTTTGCAAATGCAAGACCGCAGTCCATTTACTTATGCAATCCATCCATCCATCTTTATTCCAATTGAAACTTCCTCCCAAAAGAGCCCAGGGAGGGGCAAAATCCAATATTATTGATAAAGCAACATCATTGAAACACTACAAAGTTGAAACAATTCTACTATATTTCATAAAATACACAATTCTAGATGCTGAATGGACTGCTCAAAACAATCAAGGGTGCAATTCTATACTTGTTTAACAGTGGAGCTCCTATTGCAATTTAGCTGTTGCTGGACTACAACAACATTTTCTAAATGCTTGATGTTTTATCATGTTTTTAATATCCTGTTGGGAGCCACCCAGAGCGGCCAGTGCCCCATCTGAGGGTATCAGTGGCTGAGGTGGAGCAAAGGGGATCAGGTGGCCTTTGAGGTACTTTTGACCCAAATTGTTTAGGGCTTTGTAAATTAAAACAAGAACCTTGAAACTCACCCACTGACGAATCAGCAACCTGTGCAGCTGTCTCAACAGCAGAGTTGCCAGAGATCTGCTCCCTTGAGCAGTCTGGCCTCTGCATTCTGCACCAGCTTCAGCTTCCAGACCAGATACAAGGTCAGTCCTGCATAAAGTGTGTCCTAGTAATTCTTTTGCATTGTTCTACAGAATTTAGACTGCTTTTTTTTTTAAATGAGAACCCCCACCAATGTATTTGTGGAAAATGCAGTCCATATGAGAGAGGACTTTGTATACTTCTTTGTTTTTCTGTTTTTACTTTTGTTTAGATTAGTTTGGTTTTTTTATTGTAAAGTATTATGGAAAGTCTTAATAAAATCTTATTTTTTTAAAAAAAAATGCAGTACAGAAATGAATTGACTATGACATCTGTAAATTTCATTGTTTTGATGTATTTTTATATAAACCAAGCCGGGAACATGTTTGAACAGGAGTTGACACTGGTGATAAATAACAGATATTCCTGTGCTTGTGGATTAAATGGCTTGTGTGTGTGCAATGAAATTGAACATCAACAGCAGGCACTAGAACTAGGATGTGACTGCTTTGAGTTAGTTCGAACTAGGTAGAAGAGTGTGAACAGAAGGGTTTTTGGATCTCTCAGCTATGTCTGCTCCTTGAAGATTAAATGTAAGCCCCTGGTAACTCTCAGAACTGTCTTGTAATCAGGAACGGATTTGAACTTAAACTGAGGGCACAGCAAAGAATTTAGCAGAATGATTACTGCATGTAGGTCATGACCACCCTTGGATTATCTACAGGCAGCAGGAGGGAGAAGAGGGGCAACATCAATCGGGGTTTAAAGATTGGAGGCACCACTTTTATCAGGAGATCCTTCCCTCCAGCGTGGCACTTTACTTTAAGCAAGGAGTGAGTCCAATCTTAACAAGAAGTCATTGATTTTGTGGGGTTTTGAGCAAGTACAACTATTTTCAGTATTATCTTTGTGTGAAGGTGACTGAGCAGTGCACACTGCAACTTTTACTACAGCGAGCTGAGTTCTAAAGCTTCCTTTTTTTTCTATAAAAGAAGACGGACAAACCCACAGCATGTCTGACTGCACTCGTTTCTTCCACGTTAGAATCTGAGCACACACGACTCTACTTCACTTAGCACAGCCACGACATCGCTACACAAGCGGTCCATATTCTTCATATGACAAAACTGTATTCTTCCCAAGTTATTATTTTAATCAGAGAAATTGCTTGAGAGAGAGAGAGAGAGAGAGAGGACAATCTTCAGGAATCTAAGTCCTTGCCAAGGGTCAGAATGGTCTGATCTCTATAAGGGATAAACCAGGATTAAATTCATGGAGATATCATATGCCCCAGCTGTTCATTTTTCAGTTAAATTTCTGACCTTGTCATGTTGCAATCTTGTTTTGGGGAGACATGCCAGGTTGCGCTTGGTTTTTTGCTTTTGTGGACACTTCTTATTCCAAACTCAAGGTCTCCAGGACAGGGGTGGGGAACCTGTGGCTCTCCAGATAGTCTTGGACTCCAATTCCCATCAGCCTCAGTAAGTGTGGCCAGTGGTGAGGGGTGCAGTGAGTTGTAGTCCCTGCAACATCTAGAGGGGCCACAGGTTTCCCACACACGCTCTAGAAATTAAGTGTTGGATGCAGGCATAGCTATGCTTAGAATAGACCCAGTGAAATAAAGGCAACTTAAATAAGTTATGATGTAAATCACAGAATCATAGATGTAAATTATGAATTATGTAAATTATGAATTATGATGTAAATCACAGAATCATAGATTCATAGAACTGGAAGAGACCATGAGGAATCTTTCACCCAACGTGGGGCGCGAACCCACAGCCTTGAGATTAAAAGTCTCATGCTCCACCAACTGAGCTATGGTTGCAACAGCCCTGCTCAAAGGGGTGGCAAAGTCTGAATTGTATCTTGTGTGTGTTGGCTCCCTTGTTATACCAGGTCAGACTTTTGTGTCCATTGAGCTCTGACCCCACCAGACTCATAACATTATTTATTCTTTATATAGACCTATTGGTGTGCTTGGTGTTTGCGCTTTACTGAGTATAGTCATACCTTGGAAGTTAAATGGAATTCGTTCTGGAAGTCCGTTCGACTTCCAAAACATTCAGAAACCAAAGTGCGGCTTCTGATTGGCTGAAGGAAGCTCCTGCAGCCAATTGGAAGCGGTGGAAGCCCCATCGGATGTTCGGCTTCCAAAAATAGTTCGCAGTCACTTCCGGGTTTGCAGCATTCGGGAGCCAAAATGTTTAAGAACTAAGCTGTTCAAAAACCAAGGTACGACTGTATGTGAGGAGCTTGCGAATGAAGAAAGTGAAAACAGGGGCAAACAGAGAGTCAATAGCTTATTGTTTCAGTTAACTGGGCTTATAGCTTTGTTATAGGCTCAAGTTATCGTTGGACATGGGAATGTGTGGATTGTACCAAAGGCCTCTCAGGAAAGGTGTGTTTTGAGGAGGGGTGGATTTGAAGGTAGTAAGAGTGTGTGTTTTTTGAGGGGGAGTTGGTTTTTTTTGTGGGGGAGTTATTTGTCCTGTCTTCACGCTTTTTATGATGGAGGACCGCTGTAGCCACCCCCAACGACACGTTCTCAAGATGGAGGGGGAGGGAACAGCTGCAGTCGCCTGTGGTTCCTGCACAATGTTTGCCATCTTGCCAAAGGTTGCAGGCAGCTTTACCTGCAGCAATTGCATGTTGATTGCCCTCTTAAAAGACAAAGTCCAGCAACTGGAGGAACGTGTAGCTATGCTCCAAAGAATTAGAGAGCTGGAGCTCTTCTTGGAAGCAACAGAGCACACCGTCTCCACCAAGGAGGAGACAGGGGACTCCCTGAGAAGGAGGCTAGTTCACCAACACAGGAGCCAGATATATGGAGAAACGTGACTCAAAGAAGTAGGAGGCCCAGGGTTCGCTCTGATTGTTTAGAAATACACAATCGCTTTGAGGTCCTCTCCCCTAGCATGGAAGACGAAGAGCAGACTCCATTTGAGGATCTCCCTCATTACAGTCGATCAGGTATATGAAGATGAGCAGCAAAGTCAGTCCTCAGGGAATGTGCAGGCGACCTTGGAACGGACAGCTCACGGAAGAACCCCGACCAAACCTAAGAGGAGGCGTGTAGTGGTGATAGGGGATTCCCTACTGAGGGGAACAGAAGCAGTGATCTGTGGGCCTGACAAGATGTCTCGGGAAGTGTGCTGTCTCCCGGGCTAAGATCCAAGATGTAACTGAACGACTGCAAGGAATCATAAAACCCACTGACAAATACCCCCTCCTCTTGGTTCATGTGGGAACCAATGACACTGCAAGCAATAGCCTCCAGAAGATCAAAAGAGACTACAAGGCTCTGGGCAGGAAATTGAAACAATTAAATGCACAAATTGTCATCTCATCTGTCCTCCCAGTTGAACGACGTGGCCCAGGGACAGAGGGAAAAATAGTGGAAGTGAACAGCTGGCTTCGCAAATGGTGTAAACAGGAACGGTTTGGATTCTTAGATCACGGACTGCAGTTTCTTGAAGATGGACATCTGGCAAGCGATGGGCTGCACCTCACAACGGTTGGGAGGAATGTTTTTGCCAAAAATCTCAGAAACCTCATCAGGAGGGCTTTAAACTGACTAATGTGGGGAGGGAGACAGTGCTCCTGAAGGTAGGAGTCTATCAATTGATGAAGATGATCATCCAAATGTCATAGACCAAATGGAGCAAACAGCACGCAGACCTAGTGGTGGGAGGAAAAATCCTTAAATAAGAGTCACGGGGAATGATTAATGGACTTCAATGTCTGTACACTAATGCGCAAAGCATGGGAAATAAACAAGATGAGCTTGAGCTCTTGGTACAGCAAACTAAATATGACATAATAGGCATCACTGAAACCTGGTGGGATAAGTCCCACTATTGGAATGTAATAATGGAGGGATACAATCTATTTCAGAGAAACGGACCAGACAAGAAAGGAGGAGGAGTGGCGTTATATGTCAGGGATGTGTATACCTGTGAAGAGATCCAAGATTTAGAACCTCAAAGCCAAAGTGAGAGCATTTGGGTCAAAATTAAGGGAGAGAAGAATAACAGTGACCTCATTGTGGGAGTTTACTATAGATCCCCAAGCCAAACGGAGGACATAGATGATGCCTTCCTGGAACAGATGGCCAAGCATGCAAAAGGAAGGGAGATAGTAGTAATGGGGGGCTTCAATTACCCGGATATTTGTTGGATGTCAAACTCAGCCAAGAGCATAAGGTCAAACAGATTCCTCACTGGCCTTGCAGACAACTTCATTGTCCAGAAAGTGGGAGAAGCAACAAGAGGAACAGCCATTTTAGATCTGGTCCTAACCAATGTTGATGACCTGGTTAGTGGGGTAGAAGTGGAAGGATCATTAGGCGCGAGTGATCATGCTCTTCTGAAGTTTACTATACAGCGGAAAGGAGCAGCCAAGCATACTAGGACTCAATTTCTTGACTTTAAGAAAGCCGACTTCATAAAACTTAGGGAAGTGCTGGGTGAGATCCCATGGACAGTAATACTAAAAGGAAAGGGAGTTCATGATGGCTGGGAGTTTGTTAAGAGGGAGATACTAAAAGCACAACGTCAGGCAATACCAATGAGACGGAAACATGGAAGGTGCCTAAAGAAGCCAGGGTGGCTATCTAAAGAACTTTTAACTGAGTTAAGATTAAAAAGGATGTGTACAAAAATGGAAAAGGGGGAAACCACCAAAGAGGAATTCAAACAAATAGCCAGCACGTGTAGACACAAAGTCAGAAAAGCTAAAGCACAGAATTAATTCAGGATTGATAGAGAGGTTAAAAGCAACAAAAAGGCTTTTATGGGTATGTTCGTAGCAAAAGGAAGAACAAAGAAACAGTGGGGTCACTCAGAGGAGAAGATGGTGAAATGCAAACAGGGGACACAGAAAGGGCTGAACTCCTCAATGCCTTCTTTGCCTCAGTCTTCTCCGATAAAGAAAACAATGTCCGACCTGAAGAATTTGGAGCAAATGATTCAGCAGAGGAAACACAGCCCAGAATAACTAAGGAGATAGTACAAGAATACTTGGCTAGTTTAGATGTATTCAAGTCTCCAGGGCCAGATGAACTGCATCCAAGAGTATTAAAAGAACTGGCAGATGTGATCTCAGAACCACTGGCAGTCATCTTTGAGAATTCCTGGAGAACAGGCGAAGTCCCGGCAGACTGGAGGAGGGCAAATGTTGTCCCTATTTTCAAAAAGGGAAAAGAGAGGACCCAAATAATTACCGCCCAGTCAGTCTGACATCAATACCAGGGAAGATTCTGGAGCAGATCATTAAGCAAACAGTCTGTGAGCACCTAGAAAGGAATGCTGTGATCACCAATAGTCAGCATGGAATTCTGAAAAATAAGTCATGTCAGATTAACCTGATCTCGTTTTTTGACAGAATTACAAGCCTGGTAGATGAAGGGAACGCAGTGGATGTAGCCTACCTTGATTTCAGCAAGGCATTTGACAAGGTGCCCCATGATATTCTTGTAAAGAAGCTGGTAAAATGCAGTCTTGACTATGCTGCCACTCAGTGGATTTGTAACTGGCTGACTGACCAAACCCAAAGGGTGCTCATCAATGGTTCCTCTTCATTCTGGAGAAGAGTGACTAGTGGGGTGCCACAGGGTTCTGTCTTGGGCCCGGTCTTATTCAACATCTTTATCAACGACTTGGATGATGGACTCAAGGGCATCCTGCTCAAATTTGCAGATGACACCAAACTGGGAGGGGTGGCTAACACCCCAGAGGACAGGATCACACTTCAAAACGACCTTGACAGATTAGAGAACTGGGCCAAAACAAACAAGATGAATTTGAACAGGGAGAAATGTAAAGTATTGCACTTGGGCAAAAAAATGAGAGGCACAAATACAAGATGGGTGACACCTGGCTTGAGAGCAGTACATGTGAAAAGGATCTAGGAGTCTTGGTTGACCACAAACTTGACATGAGCCAACAGTGTGACGCGGCAGCTAAAAAAGCCAATGCAATTCTGGGCTGCATCAATAGGAGTATAGCATCTAGATCAAGGGAAGTAATAGTGCCACTGTATTCTGCTCTGGTCAGACCTCACCTGGAGTACTGTGTCCAGTTCTGGGCACCACAGTTCAAGAAGGACACTGACAAACTGGAACGTGTCCAGAGGAGGGCAACTAAAATGGTCAAAGGCCTGGAAACGATGCCTTAGGAGGAACGGCTAAGGGAGCTGGGCATGTTTAGCCTGGAGAAGAGGAGGTTAAGGGGTGATATGATAGCCATGTTCAAATATATAAAAGGATGTCACATAGAGGAGGGAGAAAGGTTGTTTTCTGCTGCTCCAGAGAAGCGGACACGGAGCAATGGATCCAAACTACAAGAAAGAAGATTCCACCTAAACATTAGGAAGAACTTCCTGACAGTAAGAGCTGTTCGACAGTGGAATTTGCTGCCAAGGAGTGTGGTGGAGTCTCCTTCTTTGGAGGTCTTTAAGCAGAGGCTTGACAACCATATGTCAGGAGTGCTCTGATGGTGTTTCCTGCTTGGCAGGGGGTTGGATTCGATGGCCCTTGTGGTCTCTTCCAACTCTATGATTCTATGATTCTATGATTCTAAGAGAGGCAACACCACATAGGTGTTGGCCACCCCTGCAGTAATGGTTCCTGATCCACCAATTAACATGCGCCGGGTTCCATTTTATACTTTGCGCAGTGGCAATATTGTAGCCAATGAGGTTAATCCGAGGCGTGATTATTGCTAATTGAAAACTTTCCCCATAAACAAGTCTTCTTGTTGACATGAGTTGTGGTTCTAGTCCACAGGGAACAACTAATTGTGTTCCCCCTGATTGTTGAATTGGGGCACACAGGGTAAGGCAGTCCTTAATGTATCCTGGGCCTAAGTTATTTGGGGCTTTGTACACAACTACAAGACCTATGAACTTGGCTCAGTAGCAGACAGGAGACATGGCACTGCTTTGCCCCAGGAGCAGCTAGATAACTCCAGCACCTTTCTGAATTAATGATGGGTGAATGCACAAGCAATTTTTCTGAACTAATGAATATGAGTTTCTTAAGAAACAAATTTCCCATGGCACAACTTCCAGTTACCTTTTGTTCTGATCAACAAATTCCCTGGCGCTTGCAAAATGATTGCATACTGATCTATCCTTTTTTCTTTTTTCTTTTTGGCATGGAAAATTCTAATTTAGTTGTCACCATAACTTTCTGTTGTCACAAAAAATTACACAAAGGAATATATTTATTGTTTCCCACTTAACAGCAGAAGAAATTATGTCTTCAGCAAAACAGTGCTGAAGCTTTCTTTCATCTTCATGCTCATTAGAGTTCAAAGGAGGGGAGGAAAGATAATTTTCAATGAAGATGGGGCAACTGGGATGACATTGGCAGGGTTGAGCAGGGAGAAAAACATTAAACCTGTGGGGACTTGGATGCCGTCACAGTTTTGGGACAGCAAATCCCCAGCTGCCTTTCTAGAGAAAAATTGTGGAGCAAAAGGTTTGAACCAGGCCAGAACCTGTAATAGGTTCATCTTAAGAATGGAAAAAAAAGGCCTGCTGGATCAGTCCAGTGTCCCATCTAGTCCTAGACCCACCAAGTGTCCCTGTTTTCCAGGGACGTCCCTGATTTAGAGAAGCCGTCACAGTTTCGGATTTGATCCTGGAATGTCCCGCTTTTCCTTAGGATGTCCCTATTTTCATTGGAGAAATGTTGGAGGGTATGAAGTCCAGCATCCTGTTATCACAGTGGCCAACCAGATGCCTATGGGATCTGAGCACAGCAGCACTCTCTCTGCCTGCCGTTTCCAGCAACTGGTATTATTCGGAAGCAAGAACATCATTTCCCACATTTTACTAATAATATTTAATACAATTAAGGCTTCAATCTAAAGCCAGCCAGATGTGGCATGAGTGCCACTCTGCAAGTTGGAGGGCAGCTATGCCCCAGACAGCTCCTCAATATGCCCCTGAAAACTATGGGCACAGATGTTTCTCAGTTTGATCCTTTTGTATGGTTTTGTAGTATTTTATGCATTTTATGCATTGTGACTTGCCATTATTTTAGTTTAGTAATTCTTTATTGTAATTGTTAAGTGTAAACAGTTTAATTGTTATTTGCTGATGTTTAACTTTACTGTTTACTGTTTTGTTCTACTGGATTATTGAACATTGCTTTATTTGCTGTAAATTGTTTATTTTAAAGTTATGTTTTTATTATGACTGTTTTATTGGATCAGATTGTTATTAGGTGTGTGATCTTTGCTGTCTACTTTGTTGTTTCTTCAGCTTGCAAACAGCTTTCTGTAGAGTAATATAGAAAGGCAGTATACAAATTAAAAGTGAAATGAAATGTGTTCACAGGCTTCTAGTCCTTGTTCCTCTGACATTACCCAGAAGAAGCCCTTAGCTGTGCCAGCCCCGGAGCTGCTGCAGTTAATTCCCTCCCATTCACTGCAACTTTCCCCCAAGCTCAGCATGCCAGCAAAACTTAAGAAGGTGCTGAAGCTCTGTGGAAGATCTCACACTTTTGCAAGCTCCCTGGTTCAATCCTTGACATTTCAAGGCAGGGCTAGTGAAAGACCAGAGAGCTGCTGCCAGCCAGTGTCACCAATACTGAGTTAGATGGATGGATGGTCTGACTTGGTCTAAGGCTGCTTCCTATGTTCCTCCACCGTAGAAGCTCACCCCCAGCCCCACAGGATTTATCTGCCTATTACTTTAAGCACAGTAAGTGTTGCGTGGTGATTCCCACCTCCCCCCAGTAGGAATAAAGACACAGGAGGACTTCTGGGGTGGCGCCATCGGCAATGGCGGACTCCCTCTGAACTGGAGGGACCAGCTCCGCGCGAAACGGGTCTTTTCCGCTATGGCGAAGCGGGGACCCTTTTAGAAATCACAGGCGGATGAAGCCTGTGACCATGGGACTCGGCGGGCACCCTTAGCACCCCCCCAACCCGCAAAGGAACCCATTAACGGGCTCCGAAGCGAAGAGGGGGAAGTGGCGCGGTGCTGTGAGTCGTCTGCTTTTTCCGTGGAGCGAAGCTGCATAGCCATTGTCGGAGAGCGCTGCCTTTTTCCTGGGACAATTTGGCATCTAAAATAATCACCCGTGAGTACTTAAACTTTGAACAATTGGACTTTAAATAAGGACTGGCGAGCAGAAAGGAATTGGACTTAAAAATTTACTTCAATTTGGTACTGAAATGGGAAGGTCTAAACAGGAAGTCAGCCTTCCGTTTCTTTGTAGACAGAATAAAGCAAAGACAACGTAAACTAGAGCTCAGAAAATCACTTCTAAAGGATTGGCTTTCATCATTTAAAATTGTTGAACCCCCCTTCGGTAGCAGGAGAAGAAGGGGGATCTTTTTTGGACTGTTTAAACCTGCAGAAGTGAGTTTAAAGTAAAGTAACTTTCCACCGTCCTGATCCTGGAGCGGGGTGTCAGGACTGACGTTTGAAGCTCATTGACCAGAGACAAATGCTTTTGACAGATAGCTAAAAGAAGAGTAACATAGTGATTCCACTGTTTCCTTTCGCATTTTAAAGGAACAAATATTGACAAAATATCTCAAAAAAGAAACTTTGTTGCTAGATTTGTCCTTAAAAGAAAGAACAAATAGAAGTTTTCCCCCTAGAGGGAGAATGTGAAACTGTAACTAATTCCAGGGAGCTTGCAGCTGTCACAGATTACAATCGTGGGAATGGATTTGTGACCTTGTAGGACAATGTATTCAGAAGCTCTGTTGTGTGCTCTCTGTAAAACAAATGCCCTATTGGACCAGTTAAAAGAGAAGACGGATTTGATGACTAATGCGGTCAGAACTTTTGAACAGGCAGTGGGAAACTATATGGAGCCCACCCAGGAACTAAATCAGGAGTGTGCCCTGACAGAACAGATGAGAGAAGAGGACGTTGCTGAATCTTGGGCCCCAGAGATGGAGGGAGCTGCGGCCCTGCAGGAACATGAGCTTTTGGATTTGACAAATGAACTTGGAAAAAACCAGATTTGGAAAGATAAAGTTTGGACTGGTTTGGAAATGGGGGGTTGGATTGACCCCCCCTATGCAGGGATGTTTGGACTTTCCAAGTCTGGCAATGGGCTGTGAGATGTTTGGAGCTGTGGGGGCTCTCAATTTTGGAGGGATTCTGAAACATGTTTTTAAATACCACATGGGGTCAAAAACATTACCAAGCTGGAGTTCCCACGAGTGAAAGGAAAATATGAAGAAGAGCCGCGGAAGGGACATGGAAGAGACTTAAGGGCCTCGGATATAAGGTTACCAGGTTAATGCGCTAGATCAGTGGGATAAAAAGGACTGACAAAACCTGGGACCAGGAGGAAGGGACGCTGGAGGAAGATTGGATTGTTTTTACTTCTTTTTTTATTATTAGGATTGTTTTATAAAATTGATGAATGTTAGAAAAATGTTGAAATGAAATTACTTGGCTCTAGCAAAAATGTTTAAAGAATTAAGTAAGAATATTATGGTTATGAGAAGTTGGTAAAAATAAGATTTAAGTTTTAAGGTTTTCTATAAGATGAGATGAAAATAGATTAAGGTAATGTAATGACAGAATATTATGAATTATGGAAAGGATTTGCTGCGATAATTATTAACTAGGATACAAAAAAAGGGAGGAGGAGGAGGTCAAAGAAAGAAGGTAACGAAAGTTGAGGATCTGAGAATGATGGATTTATTTTTTCTTTTTCTTTTTCTGTTTTGTCTTTTTTTGTAATTCTAAAAAATGTTCAATAAATATCATTAAAAAAAAAGGAATAAAGACACAGGACACCATTATTTTAGGTTAACGTGCAAAAATTGGCGACAACTTTATTGGTTACAGGTAAGAGCGGTATTGGCTTAGGCATTGGTCCTATCAGACTATCCGGCTTCAGCCTGCTTGTATGAAGACTGGGAAAGGTTAACACCAGCAGGGGAGCCCTGCTGATGCACATCAACTAGGAACTCCCCCGGGGTCACCGCTCAGGGGCGTGCTTTAGGCCCTGGCCTCCATAGGTTTTGGACGAGGCAACACCCCCCGGAATCCTTTACTGGACTACCCTTCAATATTTGGGGGAGGTGATGGAGCTCCTCCCCCCAACACATCTACATAATAATACCCCTACCAATGCCTAACCACCAAAACCAAAGACATTGTGATAGAATCATAGAATTGTTGAGTTGGAAGGGACCAAGAGGGTCGTCTAGTCCAGCCCTCTGCAATGCGGGAATCTTTTGGCCAATATGGGACTTGAACCCACAACCCTGAGATTAAGAGTTTCGTGCTCTACCTACTGAGTTAACCTGGGACACCTGCATCTAGTTTGTTTGTTTCTTCTTTATTAAATTTTATTTAACATAATTATTACAAAATACAAGCAACATACTGCAAATACATACATATATATTTCAGATAAGCACACATATATAAAAAGAGCAAAAAAGGAAAAAGGAAGAAAAGGGGGGGGAAAGAAAAAGAAAAAATAAGAAGAAAAATTGGAAGAATTTCTTCCAAATTTATTCTACAAATATCTCAACAATAAAATTTCATTGATGGACTTCCATCACTTACACTGCACTTCCTATATACATTTTGAGCAAAATTGTATCTGTTATTACATATTTTCCCCATACAATCTCATACAAATATTCTAATCAATAAGTTTTCTTAATCTTTCATAAATCTATTCTAAACACAACCAATACCTTACACTTAATCTTTGTCTACATAACTAAGTTGGAAGGGACCAAGAGGGTTGTCTAGTCCAGCCCTCTGCAATGCAGGAATCTTTTGACCAACATGGGACTCAAACCCACAACCCTGAGATTAAGAGTTTCGTGCTCTACCTACTGAGCTAACCTGGGACACCTGCGTCTAGTTTCTTATGGCTCTGCAATGACTTCCTGCCCTGTTAGAACTACAGAGTTGGAAGTTCACTGAGTCAATCCCCTGGTTGACGCAGGAAATCTGCTGCTTCCTTATCCCTGAGAGGTGGTCATCCATCCCAGCCTCTGCTTAATATTGTACACTATTCAAAGCTGATATGCTGTCCGTCAGAGGAAAGGCTGCATGGGGAAAGAACTCTTCATCTTGCAGGGGAAAAGCTGCGTTTATTCAGATGACTTCAAAGGCTAATGATCCTGTGAGTGGAACAAAATCAATATACGGTACATGTCTATCTGCTGCAAACAAAGGGTGGGACTTGAAGCAAGTCTCCCAAGGCCTTAATTATTCATAATGTTTGCAGGACTGATTCAAAGGAGATAATTGAGCAAGGCAAGGTCTAATGGATATTGCAGGAGGGAATCTGTGGCCTGCAAAACTTTGGCTGGAGCTTCTATAAATACTGGTGTAATTAAACTGGCACAGGTGAAGTTACCGGCCGTACAGCACAATATGTTCCTGACTTGTCTCCAAAGGAAAGACTTCCCCAAACTGATGTGCTGCAGAGATTGCAACACCCATCATCCCTGACCATTGACTCTGCTGCCTGGGGCTGATGGGAGTTAACATAAGAAGAGGAGAAGAGCCCTGCAGGATCAGGCCCAACTCAGCCAGCATCCTGCCCAACCAGATGCTTACAGGAAGCCTGCAAGCAGCACCCGAATGCAACAGCACTCTCCCATACCCTCCAAGTCTCAATTTTCCAGGGTCAGTCTCGGAATTACAGAAGCCACCCTTGTTTCTAATTGGACCCCAAACTGTCCTACTTAGCCTTCAACAGAATGTCCCTATTTTCATTGGAGAAATGCTGGAGGGGATGCTATTCCCATCAACTAGGATTCAGAGGCATACTTCCTCCAACTGTTGAGGTAGAACAGAGGAATCACAGGAGTGCTGTTGTCTTCAGGTCCTGTTTGCAGGGCTCCCACAGGCATCCCACAGGATGCTAGACAAGATGGTCCACTGGGTTCTTCTAACATTCTTCTGATATGTTCATCTGAAATATTTCCTACCACCGAATGAACACCATGCCTCCCCAATTCTCCACCTTCAAACGTGGTGGTGTGATTGTGTTTGTGTTTGGGCATTTTGCTTAGCCTTATAGATGCAGCTCAGTAAAGCATTGTTGTTGTTGTTTAGTCATTTAGTCATGTCTGACTCTTCGTGACCCCCTGGACCAGAGCACGCCAGGCACTCCTGTCTTCCACTGCCTCCCACAGTTTGGTCAAACTCATGCTGGTAGCTTCGAGAACAGTGTCCAACCATCTCGTCCTCTGTCGTCCCCTTCTCCTTGTGCCCTCCATCTTTCCCAACATCAGGGTCTTTTCCAGGGAGTCTTCTCTTCTCATGGCCAAAGTATTGGAGCCTCAACTTCACGATCTGTCCTTCCAGTGAGCACTCAGGGCTGATTTCCTTAAGAATGGATACGTTTGATCTTCTTGCAGTCCATGGGACTCTCAAGAGTCTCCTCCAGCACCATAATTCAAAAGCATCAATTATTCAGCGATCAGCCTTCTTGATGGACCAGCTCTCACTTCCATACATCACTACTGGGGAAACCATAACTTTAACTATACAGACCTTTGTTGGCAAGGTGAGGTCTTTGCTTTTTAAAGCATAGCTTTGTACAAATATTTAGCAATAGCCTTTATGTTAAAATGACCGAGCGGTGAGTGTATGAGATATAGAAAAAGTGGTCTGCCCAGGAAAGGCTGTAGCTGTGCAAGGTTGTTTAATGTTTACTTGCTGCTTGGAGGTGGGGGGGGGGCTTTTTAGGAATCTTCAGACACCAGGTTGTAATTGCTGAAGGTGTTAATTAGCCAAGCAGGTGATCTCGTTAGACAGAGAGCTCTGTAACCCTGGTAATTTCCACAGCATAATGAATCACACGGCTCTGTTCAGGGACTCTCTGACATATAAACCCGGGTTGGGAAGCTGCAATAGTTTGCCATTGTGGTTTCTTCTCCCACACCTGGGGTATCTCATATGAGCATCCATTTTTCCTACATCCATTACTGTATTTGCATGAGAATCTACCAGATAATCTACCAAGGAAACGCTTCAAAAATGTCTTGGTGCAAAGCTGAACGAGATGAGTGTGCTGCGGTGGTTAAAATTTTGGACTAGGACCTGGGAGACCAGCGTTCAAATTCCCACTCAGCAATGAACCATCTGCAACTTTTCAGTTTGAGGCAGAAATGGATGAAATCTGCAGCCAATCTCACCCTTTCTGAGAAAACGAATCCTGCAAAATTTCAGAAGGAAAGCTGATTCCCGCAAGGGCAGCTGTTATTGTTTTAGGGTGAGTAAAAAAAAGAATAATGTAATTTTCCCTAGTGTTTCATGGACAATTGATCTGAAAATGGCAAACATATATGAGAGATACCCCAGGGTAATAAACCTACCAAATTTCAAAGAAATTGGCCCAGGGATGAGAAGAATTAACAGGGATTTGCTTTCTGGGCAAAATAACTCCCTCTGATGATAAGCTTAACTTGCAAACCATAGCAGAGCTCATCTTTCATCTTCTCCCGACTCTAGTGTTTGCTCTTTCCCCCCATCATCCCATCCTGGCTTTATTAGGTTAGGGCAGGGGTCGGCAAGGTTTACCGGCCATGGACCGGATCACTCCCATGGAGATTGTCCGTGGGCTGGACTGGCTCAGTGTGACACCGGAAATCATGTCTGCACTTGTCTGCGGGGCTGGAAATTGCTTCTGACGGTCTTCGTGGGCCGCATCCGGCCCATGGGCTGTACGTTGCCAACCCCTGGGTTAGGGTAAGTTTAGAGACATTCCTTTTGCTTTCAGTCGGCTTTTGTATGCAGAATATTTCTTTTAGGTCTGGATCCCTGGGGTGCCACAAAGTACTGCTGACACCCTCACTTTGAATCGTGCAGCCTTTCACAGATTCCACTTGATTTTCTGATGAACCAAAAACACCTCTTCCCCTATTATGCTCTCTGATTTGCCTCAGAGTTCAGGATCCATCTTTATCCAATGCCCACCCCAGACTTAACACCCCCTCCCTGTCAGTAGATGCATTCAGGTATCACCTAAGTCACATAAGCTTGGTCCTAAAATAGGTTGCATTTTTGCTTTTTTAAGCAGATTGGTATAATTTGTAAAAACAAACCTAAGAGCTCTAATCTGTATTTGACAAGTATCAGAATAGTTTTGCACAATCTTGCTTAAGTTGTTTTTGCATTGATCCTGCAGAATAACTTGTTAAATTTTAAACACGCTTCTTACAAAATGATATCTTCTGAATCAGTGAGGAGGAACACTAAAAGTGACAGCAACATTTACATTCCATTAGAGATGATGAGCTGCAAATCGAACTGGAGGTGTTGTTGTGCCAGTATGCAGAAGCCGCAGTGTGAACATATTAATCTTTGTCTCGTTAACCCAATCTTTAAATGAGTTTTTAATGTTTAGGGTTTATGTCATCTTAGGCTACCCCTAAACATACTCCTGTTTTTCTGAGGAAAGCACTTCAGGTCTTCCTTCATAGATTTGTGGAAGGGGTGTGGGTGGCGCTGTGGTCTAAACACCTGATCTTCTTTGGCTTGCTGATCATAAGTTTGGCAGTTCGAATCCATGCAACGGGGTGATCTCCCATTGCCCTGTCCCAGCTTCTGCCAACCTAGAATTTCGAAAGCATACCAGCACGAGTAGATAAATAGGTACCGCTGCAGTAGGAAGGTAAATGGCATTTCCATGCGCTCTGGCACTTGCCGTGGTGTTCCATGCACCAGAAGCATTTTAGTCATGCTGGCCACATGACCCGAGAATGCTGTCTGCAGACAAATGCCAGCTCCCTCGGCCAGAAAGAGGAGTTGAGTGCCATGCCCCATAGTAAAATTTGACTGGACTTAATCATCCAGGGGTCCTTTTCCTTTTCCTTTACCTTAGATTTGCATAGAACATTCCCTAACCATGGCCTTAAGGAAATGACAACAGATGGTACTTAGAGAAGAGGCAACGAGGTCTCCTATTGCCCATTTGCTAAATTTGTGCCGTTAGGGATCCCTTTCATCTTTGAAATATCTGCTGAGGAACCCCTGTACACTGCAGAACATTTTGGCACATATTCTGTGGTGCAGAGTTGGTTCATGCAGAGGAAGCAAGCGGTGTCCACTCTGAATCAAGTCAAAGCAGACAAGATCAGGACCTTGGATAGCGCTGCTGGCTGAAGCATCCTCTTTCTCTGCCAGCTGCTGGAAATGTTGCCTTTGCAGGGAGCTGGGGATAACTGAAGCCTAACAGAGACCTGGAGGGTCATAGGTGCTGTCTCCTTTGCTGAAGCTGGTTGAAGGACCATTGACTTACTGTGCTGTCTTTGACCTCTGTGTGACCAGACGTGTTTGCCATGCAGCAAAGTTTTCAGAGGAAGATTCAGAATCAGAATTGTAGAGTTGCAAGGGACCACAAGGGTCATCTAGCCCAATCCCTGCAATGCAGGAATCTTTTTGCCCACCATGGGGCTCGATCCCACAACCCTGAGATTAAGAGTCTCATGCTCTACCAACTGAGCTATTCCAGGTGATGATGGGCTTCATCCTATTCATGAAAGGGCCTCAGATAAAGTTCCTAGTTCTCTCCTTAAGGATACAGCCTGAATATCATCCTAATCAGAGTCTTCTGTGCTTGTTTCAGATAATTGCACATCACTGTCCAGAAGGTAACATATCCTACCATTTCAATCTATGATGAACCAAATCCTCAGTCTTTTGTCAGTTCAGTTGCGTCTCCCTGGTCTGATTGTGATTTTTCAGGGCAGTGAGTTGCAACATCTGTTTCACCTGTTTTGCTCAGATGGGGTCCCTTAGAGACAGCGATGAGTTCTTTAGAGGATTCAGCTGGCAGGATGCTTCAGTGCTGTGAGACCTCATGTGACCCCCCCTTCTTGAGTTCTTTCAGGCCGCACAAGAGACAGAGTTCACAGGATCCGCGCATAATTCAAAAACATTATGTCATTTCTATTCAGTCAGATTCCATCCATTTGTGTCTCCATGACTTTGGCAGAACTGCAATAGTTATTTTATTACATTCATGGGCCCCCCTGCCTCCAAGGAACTTAAGGTAGGATTAGTGGCTTTTCCTTCCCTTCGCCTCCAGTCGCATTCAATCCTCACACAAACCCTGCGACGTAGGTTAGAGGTAGTAAGCAAGCTGCCTAAGGTCACCCAGTGAGCTTTACAACAGAGTGGGAATTTGAACCCACTCAAAGGCTGCGTATACACCAAATATTTAGGACATGTTTAAAGCACATTGCTCTCCTCCCCCCACCCCAAAATCATGAGAACTGTGATTTACCCCTCACACAGCTACAATTTCCAGCCCACTTAAAAAACAGTGGTTCCCAAAATTCTTTGGGAGGTCCTTTAAACGTTTGGTGTGGCACACTAGCACATTGTAGCAACTCCAAGTACAGAGCACATTCTACCCAGCAACAACTCTGTGATCCCGATCACACTGTATTCTTAGAACTGGAACACAGAGTGGAAAGTCAATTTAATTTTAGCCTGGAAGTGCCCACAATGACTTCGATGGTGAATGATTCTCTTTCTGTGGCTCACAGCTACTCTCTGACTAGCACATGAGTTGCAAGTAAAAGAACTTTCTGTCCTGCTATTATGCTGTGTAACTGATCAGAGTCTGACACGATGATGAAGAACTATAAATGTCACATTTTTGGTGGCAAGCAAGGGTTTCATGGGCTGTATTGCAGAATTAGTCTACCTGTGCAATTAATATCATGTGGACGAGGAAGCAGAATCAGGGAGAAGCACATTCACCCTCCTCCTTCAACCACCAGCATTTTCCACATAACGTAAGAACATAATACAAGCCCTGCTGGATCAGGCCAGTGGTCCATCTATTCCAGCATCCTGTTCTCACAGTGGCCAAACAGATTCTTAAGTGAACCCACAAGCAGGACCTGGAATGCTGACCTCTTCTACACAATGTTGATTTCATGGAAAAAGGAATGCCTGCAGAGGGCTGTGGCCTACCAGGATTCCGGTCAAGCGAGCCAACACTGTTGATTAAACCTTCAACTGCAGATCTTAACTAGAGCCTGATTCACACAGGCCTTTATATAACTTGTAGCAGTTAACATCATTACTGCGCACTTGACAGTCATCAGCTGAATGTGTGAACTTAGCTAAATGTGTAGACTGAATCGAGATGCCATCGTACCTGAGATAATATGGAGAGTGTTCTCTCTCTGGTGTTTTAACTGAGATGGCCCTTTCGCATAAGTAACTCAGCACGCAGTTTATAAGTCATCATGCATGAACTTAGCTCAATGGACTTCAGGGCCAATGGGATTGTGAAGGAAACAGGAAGTTCAAATGCCTCCTATTTCCTGTTCCTAACTCCATGGGTAACTCTTCTCCTTACCAGAAAATGTGAAACCTCTCCCCCACATCAGGTGCTTCCAAACCTTCCAGGTGAGTAAATAAAGATGTTGTGTGTTTCAGGCATGATGGTGTTGTGGAAAAACAGGAACCACAAGGCAGCATCACCACTTCAAAACACATCATCATCTTATTCTCAAAGCACAGGTATAGGGAAGGTGAAGTGAGTTTGAACACCCAAGTTTGTTTGCTGTGGGTTTGGGTTTGTTTTTTTTTAAAGAGAGACAGTGGGAGCTGTGCTATAAAACTCCGAGCCTTACAATAGCCAAACTCCCTTCAGCTTGGTTTAGAATGTAAAGCTCTTTCTTCGTGAGAGTTCAGGAAAAGTGTGTCTGTTTTCTGAGAGATTTCTTTTGGCTCAAGAAATTGGCAAATGTTTTGCCATTCCAGCTGGGGAAGAATTTTGAAGGAAAAGACATTCAATTCATAATACACCTGAATATTGCAAACTGCACAAGTGCATATTTCTCTGAGCACATGACTACAAATTTCAATGGCATCGCTTTCTGGAATCTGGGTGCTTTTAAAGTAAGGGACTTAGGTGCGTGGGTGCTTTCAAAGTTGACCATGAGCATCTATGGCAGGAATGGTGAAGCTGTGAGCCTTCAGAAATTGACTCCAACTCTCAACATCTCTGACCATTGGCCATACCAGCTGTGACTGATGGGTGTTGGAGTCCCATCAACATCTCAAGGGACACAGGTCCCCCTTCCTGACTTAGGGAGTGTGAAAACAAATTCAGGGAAGTTTCTGTTGCATCAGGAAAGTATGAAGAAAAATGTCCCTGCAGTAAATCAAATCAGCCTGCTGGTGAATTTAAGGAGAAATTGTGGACTGAATTGTAAAGCACATCTTGTGATTTAGAGAAATGCTGTCTTGGCTTTTGTTCCTCATGACTGGGGATGAGAAAGCTCACGGAAACATATTTTAAGTGTTCAGTGGACCTTACATAATCTAATATTATCCCCCACTGAGTCTATGTTCTAATCCACAGTTTCGATAACTCGTGGGTGGAACAGATCTTTTCCATCTGTTTTGCTTATGTGATTACAAATATTGGCCAGGATCCAAAGAGGTTTCAGCTAGCAGGAAATGATGTGCAGCAGAGCTGAAATTAATATTCAGACTTTTGCCATTTTTTTCCACTGGTTTTATTTAGAATGCAAACTTTATAAATCTAAAAATTCAGGTTAGAAATGGAATTTCTAACTGAAATTCAAGATCATTAGACTTGTAGGAATCTCTTGGTTGAACGACAACAAACATACCATCTGCTGCTGGAGACAGGTGAATATTAATGAATATTCTCATTCTAATTGTCATATTGTAAAATAGAATATCATATTTATTCTGTTTATAGTCCAACCTATTCCAAAGGCTTGGAAACAATTTTAATTGTGCACCTGCTCTCACACATGGATAATTAATAGCTAACCTAAAATGCTTGTTTTGAAACACTGTATTTTAAAATTTTCTAACCCGCCTTTCAGGGCACACTGACCTCAAAAGGTGGTTTACACAAAGTTAAAATTCAACAGCGATATACACCCATCAACTCCACTGATCTATAAGCAGCAGCAAATAACTAACAGCGCAGCTTGTTAATAGCAATCAAATGCAATGGAAGAAAAATGTCTAAGCTCTCTTGAAAACTGACAACAATGGGACCATTGCGTGAGGTCATGGCAACCAAAATGGCCACTGTTCTCGTGCAATAAAAACTGGGATATCCCAGGTTTTCAAAGACACTTGCAAGACTCTTAAAAGACTAGAGTTTCAGGCTTTTTTGGGGGGGGGGAGCAGCATGCTTTAAATGATGGTGTGGATGCGACCAAAATCTCTTTGAGACTTTCTACTCTTAACTTCCAAAGCCTTGATCCAGCAGCCCCTTGCAGTGTGGTATCCCAATAATCCCATCTGTGGTTAATAAAGCAAAATTTAGGAAACTCCATCAACAGATGTTGCCCTATGCTTTGGAAAGCAACATGTGCCAAACCAGTGATATTATTAAACTCGAACAACATTTACTAATTAGCCCTTAACTGCACATTTAAAAGGGGCCTATGCAACATGCATTGTTGTCAATGATGTTAGTTTTGTTCCGTTCTCTTTAGCTGACAGATAAAGGGTTTTTCCTTCATTGAGGGCTGATCTGCATTTTGATTGCACTACTCCAGTTGATGAACAAACATCAATTCAAGGTCTAGGCTTGCTGACCCTTTTCCCCCCTGGAAATCCCTCGGGAGCTCTTTAGGTTAGGGAAGTTGATTAATGTGTTGGGGAAATTAATAGATGAAAGGGAGCTGAATTAATAATAAATAAATAAAAATTAAAAATGTCCAGTGGCACCTTAGAGACCAAACTTGAGTCCCATGGACTGCAAGAAGATCAGACCTATCCATTCTGAAGGAAATCAACCCTGAGTGCTCACTGGAAGGACAGAGCCTGAAGCTGAGGCTCCAATACTTTGGCCACATCATGAGAAGAGAAGACTCCCTGGAAAAGACTCTGATGCTGGGAAAGATTGTGGGCACAAGGAGAAGGGGACAACAGAGGACCAGATGGTTGGACAGTGTTCTTGAAGCTACTAACATGAGTTTAACTAAACTGCGGGAGGCAGTGGAAGACAGGAGTTCCTGGCATGCTCTGGTCCATGGGGTTACGAAGAGTCGGACATGACTAAATGACTAAACAACAACAAAAGGTGCCACTAGACATTTTAAAATTTTTTTAATTTATTTCAACTGCGTCAGACCAACACGGCTACCTACCTGAATCTTGAATTAATAATAGTCAGCTGCAAGCAAATCACTGCAAACTGGAGGATTGGATGAAGAAGGTTAAATTATGAGAAATGGCAGGGTTGTGTGCAATTGTGTGCACATTGTGCAATTGTGTACAGGTCTGATCACAAGGAATCATTGAATCATAGAATTGTAGAGTTGGAAGAGATCCTGAGGATCATCTAGTCCAACCCCCCGCAATGCAGGAATATGCAACTGCCCTATATGGGGGTTAAACCTGTAACCTTGGTGTTATCAGCACCACACTCTAACCAACTGAGCTCTCCCTCTGAGTTCAGGGAGGGAGCAAGCTCCTATCAGCATTGATATGGTGGGCTTTCAATGGGGA